GAAAGAGAAAGAGTAGTGTGTTTAGCAGCTGCTAAAATTAGTTTTAAGCATTTTATGGAACATGAAAGTGATGAACAGTGAGATTAAGATAGATTAATAAAAAACAATCTGACTGCCTAAAAAAACCCTGAAGATGCTGTACTCTGTTTTGGGAGACAGGATTCAGAGAATTCATATGACTATCTCATAAAATATTTAGTGAAAGACAGAACTCACTAATTACAATACAATGACACAATATAAAAATACTAAATTTGGCCTCTTATGCTTCATACTCCTACTAGCAGTAAAAAGAAGTAGTTTGTAAGTCTTTCAAAAGGGAATTTCCCAACGATTCTGAAAGTATGACAAAGTAACATATTTCTTATCATGAATTCAAATAAGAAAATTGGCACTCAGAGTTCTACATTTTGATAGCAAATCAGCTGATATTCACAGATAGAAAAACAAGGACAGACAAGCTGTTTATCAAATCCAGGCCCACATAATTACAAACAACTAACACCCAGAAGCTAACATGATGCATAAAGGAAAGTAAAAAATCCTTCTTGCCCTTCCAAGATCAGTGAAAGCTCTGAAGGACAGAACGAAGTACTGCAAAACCATATGATCAACAAACCACAATACAGACGCTTTATAATCCTGTTCCTTAGGACAGCAAAAAATTAAGACCTTCCAAAGCTTGTATCACAAGATTTTTCTAACTTGACAATTATTCCAGTCCTGTAAAACAATCATGTTTGTACGCTTTTCAAAGCAAAACACTTCAGGCTCACTGCCCTCATAACCCCACAGAAAGACACTCCAGTGAGGCAGTCCACACACAGTGGAAGTCTTCTGTTCAGAAAATCTTTACTAGCACTAATTTGCACAAACAAATAATAATTTAATCCAAAACTATGTGTGCAGAACAAGTCCTGAAATGACATTTTAAAATTAGTAACACTGGCAAGATGCTCTGTTCTATGCACAACTTGTCACGAAAAATCAGCAAATAATGTATTTGCACTAGAAGGCAAAGTGCCTTCTACTCCCAAAGCCACTTGTGTGAAGAACTTTTGCTTCACTTTTCTACCGATGAATTATTTTGTAATTTAAAAATATTTGACCACTGTAACAGATGTACTGCATCCATTATCGCGACATATTATTTGCTTACTCTTTACTTCTGAAACTGTATCATTGTCTGCTTGAAATCCTAAATGCTGAGATCCAGTTCATCTTACTCCAGTAGCAATAGAATGTTGCCTCAGCATACAGCACATCCATTAATGGCACTGAGCACCCAGCTATCAGATGAATACAATCATAAAAAGCAATTTACAGAAATAAAATCTCTTTCACGAGAAAGGTTTACTATTATTTTTGTTCTAAGAATTCTAGCCACCAGCAGGCAGTGTTTCTGGAAATGTCAAGTAGTTTTTCCCCCTCTACAGATGAAAGGCAAAACTCCACCTGCAATACTTGTGCTTTTATGCAAGACCAGGGCTCCACATTCTCTGCAAAATAAGTGTGTTTTATCCTTGTGATTTTTAGCTCAACAGTTCTAAGAACTGTGAGGATGATGATGTATGCCTGAGAATTCAAATACAAACATGCAAAATGGGATCGACTTGAAGGTAGGAAAACTTAAATGTATATTGTCAGTTTAGCAAATGACCCTTTCTCAGCTGCCAGATTTCTCTCAACAGAACATTTCTCTTTAGATTGTCCAGAGGCTTTAAAAAAAAAAAAATCACATCTAACAGTAATTATTGCTATACATTTCTGTTAATCATGCTCAGTTACAGTTTGCAATGTCTTGATTACTGACCAGCTGAGCTATAGGTTTGGGAATGGACTATATAATTTAAAAAATTGCTAGAGGCAGAAGAGAGAGCAAAATGAGCATTAGGCAAAATAAAACTGAAAACTATGAGAGAAAAGATGCTTGGCTAGCTCTAGTAAAAAAGAAGCCAGCAGAAACAGGGTTAATTCTAGCCTTATAAGGCTGTTCAGCAGCACTTCAACTGCACACAAATTAGAGCAACCCTGGGAATCTATAAAGCTTGTTTTATTGCCAAGGACATGCAGCAAGATCTGTATTTTGCTGTCATAAACTATCCATTATTTTGGACCTTTTAAAACAGAATTGACTTTTATATGATTTTTTTTTTTTACTGCTGAATCATCAACAAGTGGCATTCACTGCAGCTCTGCACACCTCAGTACAAGTTTTTACTGACAGGACAGCTGAAGTTGATGCATCCATGAAGCGTGCACCTAAGCAAGAACCAGCCTTCTGTTGTCTGGAGGAAAATCAGCTCTGAAGAAATGGAATTAAGGTAAAATAAAGTGTTTTCCAGTACCTGGTTACCTGTAATGCTTGTAATGGCTTGGTTTTTGGTGGCCTTTCTGATGTCATTAAAATCTGACCACAGACTGCCCTTTTAAAATCAATTGCTTAGACTGTTAACTTATCTTTTATTGTATTTAGGGGAGTTTTACTGCCTTATTCGGCAATAAAAGGATGCTACATAAAAAACAACAGTTCATGTCTGACTTCCATAGCTGCTTGAAACAAACATCAAACCTTCTTCCAAGAAATGTCATTTCATTTGGGCATTTTAGCATAGAGATTTACATTATGAAAATGATTCAAAACACAACAACAGCTACTATGTCCTTACACCTATTTCACTAAGCAACAAAAGCTTTGGAACAGGTATCTTTAAGTATCTGTTGACTACTTCTGATAACTTGAATACATTTAAGCAAACCGAGAGCTGTATTTCTGACCGAAAATATTCTACCACTCTGACTCCATTAGTGGTCTGCTCCCTTTTCTCTCCCAGACTGTACAGCAGCAAGATTTAAGTCATCAAAATACAGAAATATGCATTAATTTTACTAGTACACAATTTGACTCTTTTTTTACATGTTTTAATGTAATTAAAATCAAGGAATAGGTACTAAGATGAAAATTAAAACCATTAAAAATATTTAAAATTAAACACAAAACACCCTGGCTTATCATTTTCTTGCTTTATTTGTCTGGGGTGTCTTTGCTTGTTTGGGTTTTTTTGTTCTAAATAAACTTCCAGCAATGCTTCAAGTCCATAGCATTCAACATGTGTAAGTAAACAAAGCAGCTAAGTGATATTTTCCATTCCTATCCAGAAGTCAGTGGAACATAGATAATCACAAAGAAAAGCAAATTGAGTACAATAATGTTGGTGTAAATCAATCTGCTGCTTGTGTGATTACCTTCATTTCTAAATTGTGCGTTTCCTTCCCCCTGAAAGTAGAAGGAACCAACTGCTTTTCATCTACATTGCCTTCTCAGCCACAGACTTTGCTACTTAATAGCCTTACAAGCTGCTGATGAAATGTTTCTTTTTACATACATATCCATATAGTAAAAAATCAAAATTTGTCAGTAAGCTGAACTCCCTGATTTTCTATATTTCTACATTTTCTGTTATTGAATCCCTGAAGGGTACACAACATTTTAACCGATCTGCCCTCACAACGTAGTATCATCTAGAACAAATTTAAGATTGTTTTAGCTGAACCTTTGTGTATGCATTAAAACATGTTTCTTACTCATCTACCTCCTCCTCATCTGTCTATGTTAAATTAGCAGAAGCATATGGTATAATGCTCAAGTATCAAATTCATTATGTTCCATTTGCAAACTGCAGGTCCAAGGATGCTCATCGATTACTAAAAGAAAGCAAATGAAGCTAAAATACCACTACCTTCCAACCTGCAAGAAGAAACACTGTTGATGAAAAGCTTTTAATAGAGATGCAAGTACCATAATGGTAAAAAGATTCCTACACAAGCTTAAGGCACATGGGAACTGCAAATTCTCTTATTTATAATGTATCTAGTGTCCTGTAAAAAAAAAACATTTACTATTTGTACTGTTATGCTTCAAGTCTAATTAATTTGACTTCTAAAGAATTTTAATTTTCTCTACAAACTTGTAGATTTTTTTCCTTGCCAATCAAAATGCTTACTGTGAACTTAGTTGAAAACAACAAGAAACCTGATTTTTTTGGCATTGCCAAACTGTGAGGACTGATATCTTCTCTGCGGATATTTTAACAATGGAAACTTATTCTGCCTCAATATCACCTGTTATATGTAACAGCACAAGTTTCAACTTAAATGGATCACATTTGTGTAATGAAAGCCTATCTTCTAGATTAGCTGATAAATCAGAACACCAACAATATGTTATTGGGCTTTTCTTATCATGTCTTTACACAATATTTCTCTTTCCTATTGGCTTTGTGGGAAACATCCTGATCCTGGTAGTCAACATAAGCTTTCGTGAAAAAATGACCATTCCAGACCTTTACTTCATAAATCTTGCAGTAGCTGATCTCATTTTAGTTGCTGATTCTCTTATTGAGGTTTTTAATCTTGATGAAAAGTATTACGATATCACTATTATTTGTACCTTTATGTCTTTGTTCCTTCAGATCAACATGTATAGCAGCATTTTCTTTCTGACATGGATGAGTTTTGACAGATACATGGCACTGACAAAAGTAATGAGGTCCAACATATTTCGCACTATGCAACACGCTAGATTAAGCTGTGGGCTCATATGGATGGCATCTATTTCTGCAGCACTAGTCCCATTTACAGCTGTGCATTTACAACACACCGGAGAGGTCTATTTTTGTTTTGCAGATGTAAAAGAAATCCAGTGGCTAGAAATAACCCTGGGGTTTATTATCCCCTTTGTGATCATTGGGCTTTGTTACTCGTTAATTGTTCGAGTTCTTATAAGAGCACATAAGCACAGAAGTCTCCGACTGCGGCGCCAAAAGGCTCTTCGAATGATTTTTGTTGTTGTCTTGGTCTTCTTTATCTGCTGGCTGCCTGAAAATGTCTTCATTAGTGTTCAACTTCTTCAAAAGAAGAGCGAGCCAGTCTCTTCAAGCAGCCCATCCTTCAGACATGACTATCCTTTAACAGGACATATCGTGAATCTGGCAGCTTTTTCGAACAGCTGTTTGAACCCCTTAATTTACAGTTTTCTAGGGGAAACCTTCAGAGACAAACTGCGACTGTACATTGAGCAGAAAACAAAAATGTCAACATTACATCGCTTCTGTCAGGCTGCCTTAACATCTGTCATTCCTGACAGCAATGAGCAATCAGAGGTCTGATTTAGTAGTGGTTGTATGAAACACATGACTGTGAAGTTGTGCAAAAAGTGAACAAAACGCTTGCTACTAAGAGAAAAAAGTGTCTGTGTGTGTGTGTATATATATTCTCGCTCTACTGAGCATTGCAGGTTTATATTAAAAATGTTTTTATGACAAGACTTTAATGTAGAAGAATATGTTCTAGTCAGATTTATATTTAATTAAGAACAGGATTATTAAAAGCCGAGCACTGAAGGAGCTTTATTTTGTATTATACTTATACGAATGACAATATAGAAGAAAATGTTATCAAGTTAGGAAGACTCTGGATATAACCTGATTATCAAATATGCTACTTTGCTAGTGTATATGAGGTACTTCCACTGAAATAATGAAGCTGCCATAAGAGGGGGGAAAAAATCATTACAACGTATTGATGTGGAGATGCAGAAGCATTGATTTTTTCATCCAAATATGTTAAGATAAATGACTTTGTTTAGAAGAACTACATCCTACTATCGTCACTGTATTCTAGCATGTCTTCCATGATTAGCTTTTTTAAATCTTAATATAATCTAGCACAGTGGTGTGTTTTTGTCTCATAGATGTAATCTAGTGTTTACACCACTACTTGATCAACACTGAAATTATCTCTAACTATATTGCTCATCTCAAAAAACTTCACAGAAGCAAAACATAATGCTGTGTTCTGTCAAGGATTGCTCAAGACAGACAGTCTTTCCCAGGACAGACATAAGTGGGCCTTTTGTCCAAAATGCCAGTCTACATGTGTACATCCACATCTGCCTTCAGGTTTAAATGCAAGTTGCATGACATCTCTTTACACTTAGCAGGCCTATTTTGATAGCTAGAACTAAACGCTGTGGCTTTAAAAAAACAAAGCCACTTTCTGCAAAGGAGTTAAGAATTGCTTATGCAAATGACAGAAGCCTCAGTTTTTAATCAAGGAAAAACTTAATGGAAGGGTGATTTGCTGTAATTGCATTTGCACTTCGTGCACCATCCATCCCACCTCCAGAAATCACAGGCCTTTCAAGATTTCTTTGTTCATTGGAAGATTAATTATACTAAGAAAACAAATGTTGATACCACATACTTGAAAACAATAGTTTTTAATTTATGCTAGAAAGTAATTGGGTTTTTAACTAAGTGATGTTTCAGCGCAGGTAACTGCTGAACTTGTTCAGAGGAAGCTATAAAGCTCCTAGAGATTAGTGTGCAAGATCATTAAAACATCTCTTGCTGCATCTCTGAAGTGAACAAACTCATTTCACCTCTGTGCTCTTTGACTTCAGCACCAGAACTCTGCAGACTAAGATGCTTTGTCCTATTTTCAAATGTCATATATGAATTAATTAGCACATGAATGGATTTTAAAGGATTTTTTAAATGTAGACACTTAAAACAATGACTAAAATTACTAAGCAATAAAGAAAACAGTGAACACGATTCTGCTCATATTTCTCACGAAATAGTTGAGTTTCCTAGTGGAAGCTTTGGCCACAAAAGACCTGACCTATAAACAGAAAGGCCACAAGACGATGGCTGAATTTGAAATAGATAGCTTGATATTCCTGCAACAGAAACAGGAACTGCAGGGTGGAGTTTATGGCAACTGCTGATTATTTGCAGGGAGCTGCTAACCACAGTCTGAGGCAAAATGTCATTTAGTCACATCTTCCCTGAAGAACACCAAATATATCTTCTCTCAAGAAATAGGCAAGTGCTGCTTTGACTCCTGTGCATAAAAGAGTTGCTAAACAACAGTTAGCAAGAAATCTCACACCCTTGTGCTACATCACACATAGCCCTTTTTCCTCATGATTTTCACTTTTGGAATTAGCCCCATGACTTGTGTCCTGTTGGCTGCCAATATACATGAATCCCACCTTGAAAGGTGGCTATTTCAGAGCACACAGAAGTGAAGGAACAGATAATTCTCTTGGCAGTGCCATTCCATGAAGGAAGACACCTCTGAGTTTCAGATCTATTAGGTTTGTGTCATCTTGACACTTCGCATGAATAAATATCTCTTTGGGTTACAGGAATACACTTTCCCTATTGTAGTGGCTGCTTGTTTGGCTTTATAGAAACATAAGAAACTGGTTTTTGATCAAGGCTATGGTTGAAGCCCTTTCATCCCCCACTGGATATAACAAATCACGAAAGAGTCTGCTCAGAAGCTTAGCATAATAAACAGACAATAGCAGCAAATGTCTGCTCATACATACTACAAAATAGTATGTTTCTACATTATTGTATTCAGTCAATTGCACATTTTAAACCAAATTATGTGTCTAAACTACCTGATGACCTTCCTACTGTTGATTATTTGGCACAGGTTTCTCAGTGGTGCCTGAAATTACTAAATCTAAACATAATCCTTACTTTAAATAAATGAAAAGTCCTCCTCCAGGTGAAAAAACAGCTCACTTCAGCCCAAAACTTTTTTAAAAAAATGTAACTATGTGCCAAGTATTATTTACAGAAAAGCCATGCAACTTTCATGTATTTATATATACCACATGCTTTGTGCAGCCCACCCTTTTGCACTAACTCGTTGCCATGTCTTATCCATGAACAAAAAATCCTGTGCTTTATGTAGTTTTCTTTAAAATTAAGGAGCATTATCATCAGTAAACAAAACCTTTTGTTTATCACAGATGCTTACAATCTTCAATATAATATTCTATATCAAATCACCAGCAAGTCTAGTATTAGGCAAAGCACACAGAAAAGAAAAAAAAGAAAAAAGAAAAAAGAGGGGGGAGGGAGATGAAAAAAAAGAAAAATAAAAAGAAATCAAAGAATCCCTTAAGTGGTTCAACGCTTTTGAAAGAACACCTTAACACAAAAATGTCTTGAATGCACAGAGTATTATTAAGTATCTAGAAAAATAATTAACCCAAAGAGCACAAACTAACACCAGTCTGAACTCGATGTGACTAAAAGCAACAATCTTCCCTCAGCTGTGTAGAAAGGCATGAGAAAGATTTTTGTCTGAGCCCATTTAAATGTGTTAAAGAGATGCTGTAACTTTGCATCCTTTTAACAGTTTTGGGAGATACACTAAATACCCACTGGGCAGGCACAACACATTCACATCTAGAAAAACCAAGATCAGTCAGTCTAAAGATGAAGCTTAATGAATTTATGAAAAGCATTCCATGATGTGAGGACATGTGACAGGGAATTGGAATGAATGAGTCAGGCGATCCCAGAATCTGTGGAAAACCGACTTAATGCAGGCAAGATGCAAGAAAAGTCACCACCCCCTGCTCCCCACAGAAGAGCAGAAGACTAGCATGCAGAAGAGTCAACCCACCTATCCTAAAAGACAGCATACCCTGTAAAATATATATCTTTTTAAAGCAAAAATCAGAAGTCTTAAAACATTACCTTCTTCAATATTGTTTCTGTCAAGTCAAAAAGATACAAGTTCATCTTATATTCCCCCAATGTAATCTGACATTTATATTATTAATTTCAAACGAGTTACCTGGCATATAAAATCCTCTCTACTAAACTTGCAAATAGGCAAGCTTTAAAAAAAGAAATTAAGCACAAAGTTCTAACAAGAAAATGCTTTTAGAATTTCAGACTAAGTATCTGTGTTTTAAACAAAATCCACTGGCTGTACAGTGCAGGCTCTAATCTTTTTCCAGCCATCAAGTTATGTTAAAAGCTAACTGAATTTCTTCCCATGTAAGGATTTTGCTGCATTCTCTCAGCTGTTTATTAAGACTGGGAGAGGGAAAAGATTGTCTAGACAATTTTGAATGGTTAGGATTGTCACATCAGAAATGTGTTAAAACATGGTTTACAGTAAGTAAAAGCATGTCAAGTTCAACATTGATTAACATTTAATTCCTTTTGAACTTGTTTCTGCATAAGTAGGAAAAACAAGTGAGTGTATGAAAAAGGCAGGTTTGAATTTTAATAGCTACTCATGAAGGTGAAGCAATGAATTAATTTTTTTTTATTGAAATGAACAAAATATGGGTTTGATTTTAACTTACAGGACAATATCTTTCCCTTTCACTCCAGAAGTCCTACCTTAACCATTCAGACCATCAGGCAAATATTTTAAACTTTCATCATAGAAGAGCATAGGGCCAAATTAATCTTTAATTCAATTGACTGAATTATATATTTACAACAGAAGTTTACACCTGGTTTACCAATTCCATCTAGAGCAGCCCATCAGCACAGTTAGATGCAGCCATTCCTCCTTCAGAGACAGCCTACTTTAGAAATTGTTAACATTCTAATTAATAAATATCACCAAAAAACATTTCCGCCTTGGAATTGTCTTTTAAAATTTTTTTTACATGTTAAATCTGCAGCAAGAGGAGACAGGGAACAAGTAATTTTTAAAACATGCACAAGGTCCATCTTTTCTGTCAGCTCTTCAGCTCTGTCAGGGAGGTGTGTTGTGGCACCAGCCCTGAGCCAGGTTTCAAAGAGACACTCTGGACTTGAAAATCTGAGCCCCCTCTCCTCAGATTTATAATTTAGGTATTCTTCATTTAAGAGTATTGTCCAAATTACTTATTCTACGTTGACATACAATAAACCAAACTTTTAGCCCTTGGCTTTTGCCTTCCTTTTAGACTTCCATTCCATCATATGGCACCATGACACAGACAGGAGCTAAGACTAACCAGCTGCACACTGAGCCAGCCACTCAAGAGGACAACAAAAAACAACGCCCTTTCAGGACTTCAGGCAGTGCAGGAGCAGCTCATTACTTTCAACTCAATCACTTACATGCTTCTTCAGTTATTTTACATACATTCAGTGAATTTCACTAAAAAATTTCAAGATTCTTGTCTGAGTCTCACAAAGGAACCTGTGTGTTTAGAAAGGCTTTTTACGTTGTCCAACTCCGGTGATAAAAACGTATTTCTAACCTATTTTCTGAAATGGTTGTCTGCTATGGATAAATACAGAACTTTTTAATTCCTAAATTAACTGAACTAAATCTACTGAACTGTTCATTACTAAAAAGTAAACCCTAAGTTTTTTAATATACCTACTCTAAATAATATTACAAGACATACAGGATCAGAAAAGCCAGCCACTCCTATCCTAAGCCCAAAGGAGACCATGACTTAATCTAGACAGATCTTTGTAAAGACAACAGCATGTTTTCAACAAAGCATGGAAAACTTTCACCAGGAAACAAACAAACAGAAAATCCCCACAAGTTCACTTAAAATGCCTTTAGAAAATGACAAAGCTA